GGGACCCCGGCCTCCAGACGGCACCCCAGCCCCCTGGGGACCCTCACCGCCGCGCTGCCTTTCTTCTCCAGGATGCGCTGCCCATCTCGGACGTCTTTCAGCTCCTGGCGGAACAGAAAGGGTCGGGGGGGGGATTTGGAGGGGTCCCAGCGAGGATTTGTGGGTGCTGAGGGGAATCTGGCGGGTGCTGGAGGGCTCAGAGAGAACCCAGGGGGCCAGAAAGAATGTGGTGAGGGGACCCAGAGGAGTTTGGGGACCCTGGGAGGGGATTTGGGTTTTCTGGGGGGGTACTTAGGCACCTCAGGGTCTCTGGTGGGGAGACCTGAGAGCCCCCCCATAGGAGAACTGGGGGTCCCAATGAGCTTTCGGGTGGTCCCAGGAGGGCTGGAGGATCCCAGGGATCTGTGGTTCCCGGGGGCGGGGGGGAGCTGTGAGAGGGTCCCAGTGGGCTCAGAGAGGGGCTCTGGGGGTGGATTTGGGGGTACCTGGCGCAACGCCTGGCCCTCGGCCTCCCGCAGCTCCCGCTGCCGCTCGGCATCTCCCAGCGCCGCCTGCAGCTCCCCGACACGGCCCTGGGGACAGCGGGGGGGGGGTCACACCCAGTCCCGACACCTATAGGGCTCTATAGGGCCACGGGGGAGAGGACACGGGTCCTATAACGCCCCAAGTGCTCCTACAGCCTCTGTAAGTCTGGCGGGGGCTCTGCAAGCATCGCAAAGCCAATACAACTCTTTACGCCGTCCCTACAGATCCTGCAGCATCGCTGGGTTCCTATAACCTCTAAAAAGCCATAGGCGACCCTACGGGTCCTATAGGGTCTGGTGCACCCAACGGCTCCTGCAATGTTCTAAGAATTCCTGCTGACGATGTAAAACATACAAAAAACGCCTCCGTCTCTTACATGGCTGTAAAATGATTGTAGTTTCTGTACGGTCAGCGAACACCATACAAGCTCCCTGCGCCCCCAAGGACCCTATAAAACCATACGGGTCTTTATTGTCTCTGCAGCGTCCCAAAGTTTTCTAACTCTTCCATAAGACCACAACAAACCACGTAACTCCCCATAATTATCCATAATACATATAACACCACGCACACCTACGGAAACGTTATAGTAACGACGTACAGAAACGCTACAATAACGACAACCCCGCAAAATCCTTCACAGCCCCTGCGCTCGCTATATGTCAGCATCGCTATAAGCGTTTCTACGGACCCCATAGCTATATGGGGCGCCTACAGACCCCCCTGCCGGGGTCCCTGCGGCTCCTACACCCGGGGTGATCCCCTATAGCCGTGTGCTCACCTCCAGCTCAGCCCGGTGCTGCTCGGCACGAGCGCGGGCGGCCGCCG